GTCATGCCTGGGCCACATTGGAGCCATCTAGCCAGAGGTAGATCTTGTATCTGCTGTAGGAATGACAGAATGATCTGAGTAGTTTCTCTCAAAATCTCAGGAACATATATCCTTCAGATCAGAGACTTTACTTTTCCAAGTTATCTAAAGACCCTTTCAGCTTGATGTCACGGTGCATACCTGTAATCCCAATACTCAGGAAGCTGAGGCAGGGGATCAACATGAGTTTGAGACCAACCTAGCTATGATGAGTCCCAGAACAACCTGAACCACATAGGGAGACCCTGTCTCAAGAAAAAACAAAACACCCCAAAAAACAGATCCTCCATCTTCTCATCTCTTTTCCTTTAACAAGTTATTTTCTTGAACTGCATACTTTTAAATCTATTAATTCATGAAAATAATGCATGTTGACTATTTCTAAATTGAAATACTACCGCACACAGAGAAAGTGCCCCTTTAATCACTGCCAAGTAGCATATTTACTTTATGAACACTTAAAAGGTACCTACAGGACTGTTTTTAAGCATCTGTTTAAAAATTGTGCTAAATGATCCATACCACTGTATGTAACACCTGGGGAGGAATGTACACCACACCATGCCACGTTATCTGTGCCACTGCTCTGCTGGAACACACAGCTCCTGGAGATCCTTCACCCAGCAACAGTAAAAGAACTAAATAATGGAGTTTAAAATAAAAGAAGACTATTTGAAGATGAGGGGAAGAAGGAAGCGAGAGATGGCAGACAGCTACTCTGGATGAGCTGGGAGCATTCGAAAGGGAAATACTCCTGGATTCTTGCTGGCAGCTCCTTTTTATTGGGGTCTTTGTCCCACACAGGTTCCTGAAATCTGATTGGCTCCCTAGCTTGTCTTTCATTCTAACCTTGGATTTCTTCTGGACAGGACTTTTTCGTCCTTTGGGGGAGGGTAAGATTATGGGGGGTGGGTCTTCAGGACAGGTACTTTAGGGTTAAGGATTTTAAAAGGGGAGGTTTATGGATTTGTTTGTTTTGAGACAGAGTCTTGCTATGTAGCCCAGGCTGGGCTCAAACTCAGCAATCCTCCTGCCTCAGCCTCTGGAGTACTGGGATTACAGGTGTGCGTCACCACACCTGGCTCGCAATACTTTTGTTAATTACACTACCTAGGACCTTCCTGGTCCTGAGTTTCTTCTTCATTCTTTTTTTTTTTTTTCTGGTACCGGGAATCGAACTCACGACCTTTCACTTGCCAGGCAGGCACTGTGCCAGTAAGCTAAATTCCCAGCCCCTTTCATTCTTTTCCTTTGTCTAATACTAGTTTAGTCTGCAAAGGCAGAAGCTGCCTTAGGATTTTCTATTAATTCAGTAAAACTCAATTAGGCCTTTATTCTCTCTTTTCCCTAGCTATGGGGACCCCTGTCCCTACATGTACACTTTCTTTTTTCCACTAAAAATTGTATTTCACAAGAAGGACTATGTGTTTCTTTTGCCACAATAAGATCCATTGACTAACTGTCTCACCACTCCTTTAGCAGACTCTCTCAATTCTCTCTCTCTCTCTCTGTTTATTCTCTTCAAAGTCATGTCAGTATAGGCAGCTAAGTTAGGTAGAAATATTACAGGCACTCAGACAGAGCTAGGCCCCTGAAGGAAGTGCAGAAGATGAAAACACATTACAACTTGTGGTTGGAGGCGCATTCATTAAAGGCTAGGCCAGCAAAGATGAAGTGACTACACCTACTTACCTAGGGATAAACAATGATTGATATTCTAAATAGGGTAGTCACTATCTCCCTAGGGATAAACAGGAATGACTGATATTCTAAATGGCTTATTAATCACTTTGGTGTGTGACAAAGACCTTGACCCATCCCTCCCAGGAAGGGTCCCTGACCCCTCCCTTGGAGTTAAGGTCCTTGTTCTTTCCATGCCCACCTGCTATGGATCTTGCTTCCCCATTGGATCCCTATTACCTAGGCAAGTACCCTTGTAATCTTATTGATCAAAGTTTTGCCCTACCTTATGATTTCATACCCACCTCATGATTTTGCTCTATAAATCTTCCCCTGAGAAGTGGGTGTGAGGGCAACCCACTTCTGCATTCCCTTCTGCCTTAGACAGAAGCTATAGTTCCCTCAATAATTATTCCCTGTTCTTAACCTCATCTCTTAGAATTCATTCTTCAATCCTAGGGAACATGAACTAGGTGTACCAGACATCTAGTAAGTTGGGAGTTATAGTTCCCTTATATTATCTGGATTATTTGGAGGTCCTGTATCATCCCTATATCACTTAGACCGGCCCTAATTCTGAATTTTCTGGAGTCTGGTGGCAAAAGGAAATCGTGTAACATGAAGCACTTGGTAATTGTTTTGTTGCTTTCAGACGCAGTTTTGGATCAGAGAAATAGGTTCTAGATCATGGAATGTTTGGTGAATGGATGGCCTCATTCATGGAGCTCAAAGTCCTAAAGATACTTCCTGGCCCAAACCATAGGGTAGGGAGGACTTCAGGCCACAAACGGCATTTAAGAAAAACATCTCCACCCAGAATGTAATGACAACAGCAAGGATTTCCTCGGGCTGCCTTGAAATGCTAGAAAGACAAAAGGTGCAGAAAGTATTTAAAGAACACCTGTGTGTTCTAGGAGGTGGACAGTGGGAAAGCAGCAAGGACAAAGTTCCCTCAGCTTGCACATGGCTACTCTGTCACTTACTCACCTAGGTGACCCATGAAGGTACTGTGCAGACATGATTAATCTTGGCTGACACTGCATGACACATTCACTGTCCATCACATGCATGGGCCTCACCATCCAGCCAGACTTTACAGGCAAAAGAGATTTTTCTCAAGAGAAAAGAATTCTGCATCAAGACTGTGACTGTAACATTGGAACCCTGCCAGGGTTGTCAGCCATGGATTTGATATCTTACAATATTTTTGTCACACTAATCAGCAGGACATTGATTGGCTGTATGTAACTACTAAAAAACAAATGGGGAAAGTGAAAGGGGGAACCCAAGGGTTTGAATTCCAGGTAATAACCACATAAAGCACCTGAACATAGTCAGCTGCACAAGCCTGCAAACCAGGCAACCCAGAAGACTGAAGCAGGTTTGTAAATTTGAGCTCAGCCGTGTGCCACCATGCCCAGCTAAAGAATGTTTTTAGATAATGCTGTGGTTTGGAATTTCAGGTTAGTATTTTGAAGGTCTCTTAAAATTACAAAACCTTCAACTGTCTTATAATTTAAGCATGTGAAGGGTCATCTGCTTTGACAGGTCTGAAACTATTTTTTTGTGTGGTGCTGGGATCAAACTCAGGGCCTCACATATGCTAGGTATGTGCCGTCCTACTGTGCTACATCCTCAGCCCTTTTTACTTTTGTAAGGCCCAACTTGTTTCTACTCCTCACTGTCTTCACAGTGGATTATAGCTCAAATAATATGGCACCAGCCCATCAACTGCATTTTTTCATGTGACTGGAAACAAACCTACAAAAGCACAGGTTTTACACTTCTATACACACATGTACGCACACACTGGCTTAGCCTGCAGGATAGTTTTTAAAAACTAAAACTAACTATATTTTCTTGCAGAGCCTGGTGGCACACACCTATAATCTCAGCACTTGGAGGCTGAGGCAGGAGGATTGCCATGTGAGTTTAAGGCCATACTGAGACCATCTCAAAACCAACAAACAAAAAATAAAAATGCTTTCTGCAAAAGGTTAAATTAACACCCATAATTCACACAGAACTTGAGCATACTTCTCCCCCAGTTTTTTACATAGGCAAACACTGTTTTTATTTTTATTTCCTGTATAACTATATGCCTAGCTATTTTGTTCCCTTCTGAGTTTATTTTTAAGACAGGGATGAGGTAGCCAAATCTAAATTTGACTCAGTGACTTCTGTCCTGCCCTCCCCTTGTGATTTCGTGCCCATCTTCCAAGGCCAGGGGAGTATTCCTGTGGCACAGCCTAATCTCCTGTGGACCTTGAACACATCTATTACCAAATATCTGAGATCTGTTAATCACAACTGTTAAATTTAGTTTTGCTAACACTGAGTAGTAGCATGGGGTTTGCTGTAAGAGCATGTAGAATGTCATCAGAAACTTGACAGAACAAAACCAAAACAGCCCTGGCCATCCACCTGTATCTGGTCTGTCTTCAGGCTGCAAAGGTGTCCCTTACAATGTGATCTTCATCAAGTATCTAGATATCCTGGGTCAAAGGAAGGGATCTCCCATTCTAAAATCTTTTTTTGTTTGTTTTTGTTTTTTTCCGGTACCGGGAATCGAACTCACAACCTTGCGCTTGCCAGGCAGGCACTGTGCCGCTGAGCTAAATCCCCAGCCCCATCTAAGATCTAAATCTATGAATCTATGTATGTTGACTTTTCTAGCAAGTAAACTGTCCTGGACAGCTCATCACATCTTGTTAGATACAAGAGCTGGGGAAGTTCTGGCATTCTAGTTCACAGAAGATGACTACAGTTAACTATAACTAATTGTACATTTCAAAATACGGTAGCTATGATTTTAAAATGGTGTCACAACAAAGAAATGATAAATATTTGAGGCAACGGATATCCTTACTGGCTGGATTCAATCACTGTACAATGTAGTGTGCTAAAACATATTGCAAACCCATATATAATTAAATCAATTAAAAATAAAACTATGAAACAGAGTTGGGCTAAGCTGCATGCAATGGACAGCTGACATGAAATATTTTTTGGTTGATCTCAGATTCTTGTGTATGCTGGCCTTGAGGACATAGGCTGAAGTGATCCTTCTGCCTCAGCCTCCCAAGTAGCTGGGACTATAGATGTGCGCCACTACACACAGCTTAACTTGAAAAAGTCAAATCAACCCACATGTTTTATTATTACCCTAATGTATCACTGCCATAGAGTTATGTCTTTACAGAGTACAATTATATCTTTTGTACGTATACAAAGTCAATGCATTATAAACAGAAGTCACACTCCATATAATGAACTAATTATTTATTTTAAACTAAAATTTATTGTAATAGGTAAAGACTTATATTCTTTTAAAAAATGAAAATTAAAAGTCTTAGAATTAAGCAATAAATTTTCAATATCATACAGCTGTTTATATAACAGTAAAGCAGTGATAACCTTTTACCCTTGTAAAAATGTCACAGAATTCAAATTAGAAATTGAATCCTCAATGATTCAAGTGTTTTGTCTTACACAATAAGGGTTTGGTCAGTGTTCAGGTAAAATTCTTCTGGACATGCTGTCCTCAGTCCTCGGCCACCTTAGTCCATTGGGTCACACAGTAGGATAGCTGGCTGCGGTGGCAATGCCACAGTGGTTGTTCCTGTTTCTGGCTATTTTTACATAACCTTCTGCACCCCATTCTGTACCCCAGCTGAAATAGGAGGTTTTCCATTTTATTAAAAAAAGAGAGAGAGAGAAAGAAATATTAGTTTCATTAATAGCTAATACATAAAAAACAGTGCTTATCACATATCATGTACTACTCTTTTTTTTTTTTTTGGTACTGGGAATCAAACTCACGACCTTGTGCTTGCCAGGTAGGCACTGTGCCACTGAGCTATGTCCCTGGCCCTTTCATGTACTATACTAAGTTCTATCACAATCTAAATACACAAAATATAATTGTATTCATTCCTGTGAGTCCTTTAGAAGATAATATACTCAGGCAGAACTGGGATTCCTGTAAAATCTGTCCACAGGTTATCTTAAATTACTCTTCAATTAGTTGAGAAAATTAATTCCAACAACTTCTGAGGCCTCTGAGAACTGAGAATAAAATGTAATGGCAAGCCAAGTGTGATGGCGCATGCTTATAATCAGCACTTAGGAGGCTCAGTGAGCTCAAGGCCTGTGTGGGCTACACAGTGGAGTTCAAGGCCAGCCTTAACCATATAGCAAGACCCTGTCTCAAAAAACAGAAGCAATGGAAGAGCATCAAATGACAACAGGAAGATGGCACATAGGCTGGCGGATGCATGGATTATCCTTCAGATTTGACCAAAGAATCAGCAGAGGCAGATACTTCTGCTTGCTTTACCTTGCTGAAATACTGGAGACAGGAAAAGGAAATCAGCCCTCAATCCTACATAAAAATCCTTTTTCTAAAGTCCTTGGAGCCAAATGTTTCAGAATTGAGAAAATTTTCAGAATTTAGAAACAGTGTTACAAATACGTATGAATAATCTCAACAAGCTTGGCACAGATTCTTATAATCGAACACGAATGGGGCTGTGCTCACTCTTAGTGAGAGAAAGCTTTGACGTTTCAAAACTGAGCGTCCCTGGACTTGTATCCAAACACTGATCACAAGCAAAAATTCTCATTTCAGTTTCAAATACCAGTGCAAAATTTAGGGTTTTATACCTATTCTTGATCAGCCAATAGTCACTCTCCTCTGACTCTGACCCTTCAGCACCATAGCCAACCAACAGCACACCATGATTCAGGTCCTTGCTGCTGCAGTCTGGATCGTAATAAATACCTGGGAACATAAAATCAGCATCGGGTGAGAGGTTCCAAATGACACATGGCAATCACCCATCCTGTCATTCACAACAGGAGGGACCCTCAACATTTATTCAAGGAAATGCCATAAGCAAATTCTATATAAGAACATAGTAATGGCTGATAAAGAGTCAACCTCTATTCACCAGAGATCAAATTATGAAATTAATGAGAAGGAAACCAAGAGATTGGGGGATGGTTAAAAAAAAAAAAAATGTACCAACTCCCTAAGATGAATGTAACCATTATGCAAACATGTACTAATAAAAATTAAAAATTGAAATCTATGAAATTCATTAAGTCCCAAGATAATTTCTACTAAGGAAACACAAATGTAAAACATGAGACCAATTGCTGATTGCTAAGGTGATTTAGGCATTCATCTCTAAGCCAAAATACCAGTAGTTCCCTTCTAACTTTAAGATGTCAGTCTAAAGAAATTGAGCGCCCCACACACCCTC